TTTATGTATTTGATGATATGAATAAAATTTTAATTTGTGATCGCTAATTTTATTTAGAACACAAACACAACCATATAATGGGATGCATTGTGTATTTGGGTTGTGTTTGTGTTGTGGGTTTCAACCAGATCCACATCATGGATTGGCTTATTGGCACTATTGTGTGTGGTCCAGATAAGATATTTACCAACTTAGATTAATGGGCTACGATCCACCCAACAGACTGGGAATGCCATTTATTTGTCCGGGCTTCTAAAGCCCGTCAGACTATGCACATCAAAATTGGGCTGAGTTCAAAATATCTCTTGGGCCAAATCGACGATGTGTTCGGCCCATATAACCGTGGTGCTGGTGCCCCCAGCACCAGTTTGTTTTGCTTCCTATTCACCAATATGAAATGAAATGGATGGGTTCGTTCTAGTTCAAAATTAGAAAAATTATATTGTTCAATGTGCTTCAATCTTGACTCCATTCGTTCAGTTTTTTTATTCCTTTATCAGTCCAGTAGATTAATCTTGAAACTGATCATTTCTTAAGCTTGCGAACTTCAAGATACAGATCAACTAGTTTGATTTGAAATAGACCAACGTATTTATCAACTCGATGTAAATAAACATTATTGACGGCGAAAAATAATTATGTCGTTGCGAAGCTACGCTCCACGAGTCAATAATCAAACAAATAGACATGTTCCCAAGAAGAAAAAGTGCAGAGCAGTTACGGTCCTTATCACCTAACATCGTGCCAATTGAATTTAATGTCAAACTGGACGATATCAAAATTCGAAACTACTTTCCGCGCATAGTAGCGCGAGTTAATAGTAACCTGTTCACTTTCGTGATTCACTGCATCAACTATGAAGTTTAAAAAGGGAAAAGCACAAAGGTTAGGTAGACTGGTAAAAAAAAAAAGTAAGCCACACATCTTGCTATTGCCAAGAACAAAAGCATACCAGAAAATGTTGTGTGTGGGAAAACAGAGCATGCATATGAATGGGGTGAATGATCACATGAAATAACCCCTGAAGAAGGAACGAAAACGAAAACAGAGTACAGCAGAAAAGATGAGTTAAAACAGGCGTAACTGCCACTTTTTTCTTCTTTCCTTTCCTTCATTCTGCTGCTGCCCCTTCTTTTGTCTTCTTTTCCCATTCCAAATATGCAGGTGGCCGACGCCATCAAGTTATTCAGCAATCCAATGTGGGATGATTTCTGATCTATGTTTTCCATTTGCAAGGTGCAGTTCTAACAAGTGGGGTGATTTTGCTTATTAGTTCTTCTGCTCCTCCCTTTGAATCAAATGTCAAAGTGTTCAATGCGAGTCAGGATCCATCGTACTTATTTGTGGAGAACATTCGACGTCGAAAATAAATATATATTATATGTTAGAGCATAAATTGTATAACATGTCACGTGGAATATTCAATTAGTAAATACACGAGAGAAGTCTGGCTAGAAATATAACTAATTTTATTATACGGTGAAAGAAATAACTAATAGCCTGCTAGATAACCAGTTGAATAACCCTTCTAGACTTGGTTGTGCAGTGGCGGAGGCAGGATTTGAAACTACCCATGTCCTCTTTTCGTATTATAAATATATAAATATTTAATAAATATAATTAAATTAATAATATCGAAATAATTTATTTTCATATATATAAAATAACTACTATTACAATCGGTATTTTCATAAACAATCATAACGAGTTTTCATATTCGGAAGAAACCCATAAAACATTCTTTGTCGACACACTTAAGTAAGTCCTTTTCAATGGATCTCACTAAACAACCATTAGCAAACTGATCGTGAGTTCGACTTCAAAGTTTGTCCTTCAGATAGCTCAAAGCTGAAAATATTTTATCGACACTTGCCGTCAAAACTAGTGGAATCGGCGGTGCCACTGGACTGCTTCAAGATTGCTTGCAAATAATCGAATAGGCATATAAAGAAAAGAGATCTATTCCAATTGAGACTTCGTTTATTGTATAATAATTAATTCATTGTCAATTTATGATAAATAATGAGTTATGATATAGTAACGAAGTACAATGGTGTTGTGTTCCATCCTTCGTATAAACATATATGAAGTATTTTTGTTCCTCCCAAAATTTACCCATGTCCCGGGACAATGCCCAATAGGGCTGCCTCCGCCACTGTGGTTGTGCTAGTGTCACACTAAGCTGCTTTACGAGCATATTTAAAAACGCGAACGATGTTTTTAGTTCGTCTAATCTTCAAATTTTTTTTTTTTTTTGCTTTTGATACTATCTTATCTCGACTCAATCTGATTCTAAACCGAATCAACGGATACCCAACACACTACTCTCTAAAGTCTTTTAGACTCTTAGTGGAGTCACATAGTTGCAAATGGAAGTCCACTTTGTGGTCTATAGGACCAAATCCACCCGATTCCCCTTCCCTTCCCCAGGCCCAATTGTGAATCTCCCGCACTCCCCGTCCCGTTACCCCACATGATCCCATCCTCACGCGAGCTGGACACGCGTACAGGCCCGGCCCAAACGTGGGCCCCAAATCCCCTAACCGACCACAAACACCAATCGCGTTTTCCTCATCCCGGCTACGTGGCAACTTCCGATTCGCCTGGCCTCATTACACTTGAAGCTGCGGCGGCTGCTCGCAGTATTACCACCATGGCCAGCCAACTAACGGCGGAATCTCCACGCGGCGGGAAGGTGAGTTGCACGCATCGCCGTCGCGCGTGCTCGGTTGCCTATCAGTTTTATTCATGTAATTCGGACGGAGCTCCCCTTGTGGTTGTTTGTTTTTTTTAATTATTTTTACTTATGTTCCGAGGTGAAAGCATGGACCAGGAAACCGGATCGTACCGGCCGGTTCAACCGGTAAAACCGGAAACCGGACCAGGAACGATACGGTAGGCTGTTTGTGGGAAGAATACCGTGCCGGCCGGTTTTTCCGGCTTAACCGGTACAAAACAAAAAACCGTCCGGTTTTGGTCTAACCGGCGGTAAGCTGTAGGAACAAAAACTACGTCGTTTTGGCACATAAAATAGTAAAAATAATAAAAAAAAATAAATCGGCCAAAAACACAAAAACCCTAATCTATCAAAAATCTGGAGCCGCTTTCATTTCCTGCGTTCTTTCTTCTCCAGCCGTCCAGCGCAACCCCGCCCCACCGCTCCAGCTCAACCGGCGACCCCCGATTGGCGAAAGCAACGCATGACCCGCGATCCTTCTCCGCCACTCTGCCGTTCATCTTCTCTGGCGAGTGGCGACCAACATGCATCTGGAAATCTTCTCCTTCTCACCGGTATTTGTAGCGGCCACAAGGTGTTGCTCGCCGACACGACCACTAGCGACCGCTCCGTTCATTGTTCTGCAACAAAAGATTGGAAGATGCACGGAAGCAAGCCGAAGGCAGCTGATGCCATACGACAATTGGAGGTTGAAAGAAAAGCCGCACGTCCAGCGCTGCTCAAGGTTGAGACTTGAGATTATCGGGAAGCTAATGGAGGACAGGAGTAAGTCTATTCGAATTGGGAATTTGGAGAGGTAGATTAATAGATAAAAGGCTGGGATGAGATTGGGGTTGTGCGAAGAAGCTTGGTGCGAATTAATTAGGGATTTTGAATTGGGGTTGGGGTTTGCGAACAGCCACACAGGTCTGGGTTCGTACAGGAACAGGAGGAAGATGAGGAGAGAGGTAAGGATAATTAGGTGTTTGATCCAAAAGTAAGAAAATGAAAGGATGTTTTGTGGTTTATGATTCGTTCAAAGATAAGAGGCCACAGGCCCCTTTCCAAACCACTAGAACGAATGACTCAAAACCACTAGTAATGTTGCATTAAATATGTCTATTTAGTTTATTCAGATTTGTTATCCGGTATATTCCGGTTTTATTCCGGTATTATTCCGAAACGGTATACTGAATCTGTCGGTACGGTTTTTTAACAAAAAAATATTTTTTAATTACAAAAACGGTATTTTACCGGTACACAACGGTTGAACCACGGTAGTACCACAAAATACCCTACCACTAGCAGATCCGGTATGACTTCCGGTACAGTTTCCTTTACCATGGGTGAAAGTGGAAGCGGCAGGCTCGATGGATAAAATTACCCGAGGTGAAACAGTAAAAAGTTTTCTGTCCGAGGACGAGTTTTGGAGTTTTTAGTTTTTACTGCCCCAGTAAAAACGCCACGTAATTTTGGTTTAGCTGGGAACTGAAAAGTCGTTTATTTCGTTTGGAAGTCAACCAAATCCAATTTATGGATTATGTATAACGTTGACCGGACCGATGAAATTAAAGTTATTGGAATGACTAGTTTTGACTGTTTGCCTTTTATATTTTACCTAGGTTTTTGGAGTACTTCTACTTAGTTTTGAAAGAAAAGATATGCGTATTTGGTAATATCATGTACATTCAAACATTCAACTTGTATATTTTGTGTGTCGCGTATTTGGTATCATTTAATTTCATATATCTATTATATTTCTCTAATTATATCATGTACATTGTCAACGATGAATTCATTGTTTTATTAATACTAAAGACTTGAAATCTAGACGGATTTTTAAAACAACCCTTCATACTTGTCTCGTTCTAAGCTAAAATTAGTCCGTAATTAATAATTGCATTATCGGAAAAAAGAACCATATAGTTGGTCGGTTATATTCATATACACATTTCCAATTACAAGAATGAGATGTGTTTTTCTACCAAAAAAAGAATGAGATGTGTTATTTGGCAACCAAGCCTTGTAAAATCCATGGCTTATGAGATTCATAAATTCCAGATGAGTGGTTTTAAGAATTAAAGGCGAGGAAAAGAGAAAAAGGAGATAACAAAGCAAAAAAAAAAAAAAAAAAACAGGGAAGGGAAGGGAGAGGAAGAACAGTTTCACGTTGTTCTGTTTTGGTTATCAATTTTATTATTAAATAAATATTCTTTTCTCCCCCTAATCCATTCAATTTCATATAATTTTTTTTCTCTCCATTTTTTTATAAATAAGTACTTGTCAATCGGTGCGTAAACAAAAAGAAGCCAGAGGTTTACTCTCCCCTTCCCTTCTCGCCTCTCGACTCTCCCCCATTTCCTTTTCTTTCCTCCCCTCTCTCTCTCTCAGGTTTTTACTTCTCTCTCTAGCCTTCGGTTTCGTTCGGTCGGCCCTCTGCTGCCCCCGCCTGCGCCTCTCTTCTCCCCCTTCGCGCCCGCCATAGCTTTGACGGCTTTCTCTGAAATGGAGGTAACCATTATTTTATTAGTATACACAAAAAAACGCCCATGTATGTTTATATATAATATACAGCAGTAATTGTACATAGATATATATCTCTCTGCGGGAAGGGAATTGATGGTGTCTTCTTTGTTTCGAGTTGCTCTGTTCCTTTGCGATATGAAGGAAGGGGGTAAATCTTTTTCCTTACTTCGGGATCGTGTCCGAATCTTACTCCTCAGTAGTTAATAAATAAACTTAGTTTGTTTTTTTTTTCGGCTTCTTCAAAGCTTCACTAATTGTTTGATTATGGCTGATATTGTGATGTATATATATGATGAAGCTCTGTTCTCGAGCAGTTATGGTTTGGTGATGAGCTACGGGGAAATTAGGTAGCTTCCCAGATGAATGTGCTTCTTGGGTCGTTAACAATCAACCCAAAGTTTCGAGCTTTTTATTTTTCTTTTCGTGGGGGTTTTTTTGTGTGTGGTTGTTGTTGTTTTCTCTTGGGAATTGAACTGATATCCACTGGGTTCTCAGGTAATGCCTAGCTGCCTTCTGCTACAGCATAATTCATGTTTATTGGATGGTATGGAGGATTTGACTGTTCCATTTTTGATTCATTGGTTTACTTATTTACTTTTTATCCCTGAAATTTATTTTTAATTTAGTTCCCGGTTACTTTCTGTTTTCGCTTAGATAATTTTTCTGTAAGATTATTGCTTCTACTGTCAATGTAGTTAGATTTGGTTACTGGGTTTGCTGCTCCTGAACTTTCTTACCACTGTAATGTCAAGAGTTTAATTTAATGGTAGGAAGAATTCATATAAGTTGCAGGAGTTAGGCACTGTTTGTGTTACTAAGAATCTGTGTTGTTACTTGCTTCCCCCCCTCCAGATGGATGAGGTTCAAATGGATCACAATGGAGATATCAATGCCATTGAATCTGCAGATCAGCAGCCTCTGCAGGCACTAGAATCTTCTGGCATAAGCGAAAACGATGAACCCTCGAGAGAAACGGAGTTGCTGCCTCGAATTGGAGAACAGTTCCAGGTCCCGATCCCACCTCTCATCAGCAGATCGGTCTACCTCCAAACTGATCACACATTACCCTCAGAAGGCAATACTCTCAAGTTTTCACTCGGGTTGCCTCTATCACTAACATGGATTAAGGAAGAAGGCGAGACGATCAAGAAAGAACTAGACGAGTACCTTCATGCTTTGTCCACAGGTTCCACCAGGAATGATTCAGTGAAGGCTGAGAATAATGAAGTGGTTCGATGTGGAAGTAAAAGCTACCGTTTGGTACCTGGTTCGTCTTGTTATGATGAATGGGATGATCTAGAAGTGGGGAGCTTTCTGCTTGGTCTGTATGTCTTTGGGAAGAACCTTGTTCAAGTACAGAAGTTTGTTGAGAGTAAGACAATGGGCCAGATACTATCCTTTTACTACGGGAAGTTCTATAGGTCGAGTAGGTATCGTAGATGGTCCGAATGTGGCAAGCAGAAAGGAAGGAAGAGAATGTTTGGACAGAGGATCTTCACTGGGTCAAGGCAGCAGGAGCTCTTGTCTCGCTTGGTCAATCGTTCATCTGAGGAGTGCCAGCACACTTTGCAGAAGGTAAAGCTATTTTCTTTCATGAAGGCTCTTTTAGTCATTTAATTGTAGAGATCTGTTAGCTTTATGAAATGTAGTAGGTTTACAGGTTGCCCAATGTATTTTCTTTCACTATTCAATGATGAAGCCATTATGTTAATTAATTAGGTTACCAAGTCATTTGGAGAGGGACAAATGATGCTGGACGAATATGTATTTGCTTTAAAAGCAGCAGTCGGTTTAAAGGTCTTAGTCGAAGCAGTGGGAATTGGCAAAGGGAAGCAAGACCTAACAAGCACTGCAATGGACTCCCTGAGGTCAACCAATCATGCTGGGTCAGCTCGACCAGAGATACCTGTTGGCAAAGAATGCTCAAAGCTAACACCTTTGGAGATAGTCAACTTTCTAACAGGAGGATACCGGCTGAGCAAAGCTAGGTCGAACGATATCTTCTGGGAAGCTGTTTGGCCAAGGTTACTTGCTAGAGGGTGGCGCTCGGAGCAACCTAAAGATGGTTCTAGAAACTCCCTGGTATTTATAGTCTCTGGAGTTAAGAAGTTCTCTCGCAGGAAGCTTGTGAAAGGAGAGCACTACTTCGATTCGGTTACTGATGTTCTGAACAAAATTGGTTCTCAGCCTGCACTTCTTGAGCTTGATGCTGGGAAGGAAGAGAATGGTTGGAGTAAAGGTGGAAACTTAGAGGGAGACAGTTTAGGTGGTAAGGAGCAACATTCTTACCTTAAGCCGAGGAAATCAGAACTTGCTAGTACGAATGGTTTGAGCTTCACAATTGTTGATACTAGCCTGGCTAATGGGCAAAGCAAGAAGATAACTCAACTGAGAAGGTTGCCAACTCAGGCTATGAACATTTGCCTCCCAATTAGTGATTCTGAAGATAGTAGTAGTAGTAGTAGTAGTAGTGATGATGACGATAATGATGATTCTTCGAATGGACCCACAGATGAATCGTATTCTGCAGGAGACTCGAGTGTTGATTTGGATTTTCATGGAAATGGCACTGTGAGACATAGTCTCCTTGTGAATGGCTTGAACAATAAGGTTGCTGCTGATGATGGTGGGAGAACTATGCAGGACAGAAAGGGTTTTGTGAATAAACCTCAAGCCACAAGGAAAAGAAAGCTACCCAGCAATGTGAATACTGTAGTGGAGCCACCAGCTGCAAAACGGCAACAGGTGAAAGCAGCAGCAGGAGGACCAGTGCCTTGTGATGCAAGGAATACCAAATGCAGAACCTTTGATGACGTGGTTGGTCAAGGAGTGGAGAAGCAACAACAGAAAGCAGCAGTGCCTTGTGACACAAGAAAGACTTATTTTGGAACATTCGATGACGAGTTAGTCAGTGGTCCAAGGATGATTCAGGATTACCCTGTGAGCTATCGTGGACATGGATTTCCTTCTCATTTGCTGAGTCAGCAGCAAGAGAAACTACCTTTCACCAGTTCTTCATCCAGCCATGTGAGCAGTACTTCTTCTTCTGCAGCTGAAAATTCCAACGACAATCCTCAATCTCGGACATTGATTGACCTTAATGTTGCACCTATCCCTCAAGAACCCGAAGACTCAATGGTGTCTGAGAGGAAGATCACTGATGTGCAGCCAGAGGACCCTGGAGTCCCAAAGCCCTCAAATTCGACATCTGACTCGCGTAGACACAGTACTAGAAACCGGCCACTGACTACTAAGGCACTGGAAGCTCTTGCTTGTGGGTTCTTAAGTTTGACGCCAAAGAGAGACAGCCATGCGTCGAAACAAGCATCTAAACGAGCTAAGAAGGCGAGGATTGACAGCAGTTGTACTAACTTTGGACCCGAAATTGTGGATTTGAAAGGTGGAGATGAACCAGGAAGTTGTGTGACCAAGAGTAGTAGCAACGACGGTGATAACGAGGTTCAGGTTCGAAGTAATGAGCCATTTTTCAGCCGAGTTTGAAAATGACTTGAAGCCGTTGAATGAGCAGAGAAACCTCTGTGTGTACAGCTCAGCTGTCCAAGTTTACTACATAGGTTATATGGCAAGAAGATGAAGGAAACAGAAAAAGACCAGGAAGTGGAATTTGGGTTTGGAGTTGAAACTTTTTATCTTTCATTCAAAATCAAATGACTTGGAAAGAAAAAAGTGCTTTCTTGTGAAGGGGGGAATTTGACTCCATCGATAAAGAATCCATCTTTGCAAATAATAGTTGAAAACCCATTATTTTAATTTGTTTCATATTCTTCGTCCAAGGCCAGTTGAACAATGTGCTGGTTGGACAGGTTGGTTGGTTCATGTAGCTGATAACTAGCTCCAACTGCAGATTTTGCTTGGAACATAATGGTAGGCCAGAGTTGAAATCTCTTACAGGGTTGCTCCTAATTGGTTGTTTTGAAAATGTAGAAAAATGAGGTAGAAGTAAGAGACCAAGAAAAAGGTTTAATTTCTTGGTTTACTTATCATTTAAATATAGGATTAATCAAACTCTAAACATTCACATGCATTATACCTATTTATTAAAAATGGAGTCATTCTTGGTTCATTTGAAAAAAATGTTTTCTACTATTCTATTTATAAGACGAAGTAAATTGCAAATGCACTAATCCAGTCAGAATTAATACGCAAATGAGAAATATTTTGATGTATCCTTTAACGAGTACGAGAATATTACACCAAAACCATCAAGAAATATTGTTTTTTTTTTAAGAGATAATCAGATTTCATAGAAATCACAGATCAGCCTCAGCGGCAATTACATCAGCCAAAAGGCCAGGAATACAACCTTGCCATATCTCACTTCTAATGACGTTAAAAGGAAAGAAATGTGCTAATAAGTGTGCAACCCCATTTGCTTCCCTGTAGACAAAACTCCAATCAACTACATTAACCTCCAAACCGATCGAAACAACATTTCTGCAGATGCTATCCACCTCGGTTCTGCTGTTCTCTTTCCCCTTCGGACAGTTGATCAATCTTTGGCAGTCTGACTCGACCTGAATGCCTCTAAGCCCTCTTTCTTTAGCTTCCTTTAGACCAAACTGCAACGCCATACCTTCTGCAATCTCAGGGGACCAGTTTGCTTCCAGTGTTCTACTTCCAGCCAGCATTACCTTGCCATTCCAGTCTCTAATGATAAAACCCATTCCCACCTCTCCTTTACCACTGCATCCAACATCAGTATTCAGTTTGTACATTCCTTCTTGTGGCTTCTCCCACCTGCAGTACCTCCTGTCCACTCCTCTTCTCCTGTTATTTTCTTTTCCTTGGACAGCAATGTAGTCTTGTATAAAGTCTTCAACTTTGCTTTGTAGTCTATACTAGTCTACAGAGTACAGTCCTATACTCCTATTGATCTGTTCCAACTTCCAAGAAGAAGAAAAGTATAATTAGAATATGAAGACGTTATCCACAGTGACGATTTCAAGTTTTTTTTTTTTTTTTTTTGCAAATAGGCAACTTGGGGTGCCGTTTTTGCAAACTCCTCCAAAAGTACAAAGCAACGTGTGTTCTCCACAGAACCACAGGCATTTTGTTCGTTACTACGACTCACTTGCCGCTTTCCTTCTTCTTCCTTCGTTTCCAAGGACCTCTCCCTCTCTTCTTCCCACTTCCCAGCGGAACTATTAGGCCTTTGTTCTCTTTCATACTCCTTCTGGAACGCTAAAACAACCGCCAAGCGGCGGCGTTATTGCCCTTCTAAAAGGCCGAGAAAGGAGAAGGCGGCAAGTGCAAAGCAAATGGGTCAGGCATTTCGTCGAGCATCTGGCAGAATCCGAGTTCCTGATCCGCCTCCCAAGGTGGTTGTCGATCGCAGGCCACCGGAAAGTGCCGCCGAGAAAGTGGTGGAGGTATCAAGGACAACTACCCAAAAACTCGACAATCAAGATACACTTGGCGCTGGTGAGTCTGAGTCTCCTCTCTGCTCATTCGTTTAAATAGGTGAATTTTCTTGTGTCGGTTTCTCGGAAGTACCGGTGGAACTGAACCCTTCTCCCTAATCCTCCTAAAGTTTGAGTCTTTGAGACTTTGCTGCTTTTCACTCTGACCTAAGAGCAGAAATGTAAGTAATGTTTGCTTGGTGACTGTTAATTTGAGCTCCATAACTAGCCATTGTATCACTGAGGTTGAATTTTTTTCCCCCTGCCTTCCGTTTGGTTCCTGAGAAAGAAAGGAACAGAACAGGCTGGCATTGGGAACTCCGGACTTTGACATTCTGCTGTGCTGCTTTTGTACTTACCGTTTTGATCTGTAGTATCGTCAGGGAAATGTATATCTGGGTCATGGAATGAACTGACCTGCAGCATGCCTTCTTGTTTTGTGTAGCTGATAATCCAAGTTTTGATGCTGAAAATCCCTTTGAAGAACGGGATCCACAATTCGATGCAATGCTCAATCAAATGGTGGGAAGAATCCCAACGAAGCCAGGAGGGAAACCTGAGATGGGTGAGGTGAGCTCTTCTGATATTGGCTTCACCCTTTTAGTTCTCTGTTCATATTCATACTAGGAAGTTGTATAAACAGGGAAGTGAACACCTGTTGGGGTTTGGTCTTAAAGATAATGCATGATGGTTTCATTATAATCAAAACCATCAGCAGACTGACTATGGATAGACATTAGATAAAAATGGTTTTGAGAAAAGACTTCATTTTAGGAGAAAGGCCATGACTGAGTTATTTATGGTGGAAGCAACTGTTCTCTCGACAATGAATTAGTCTCTCATCATTCGTCTGAAGTCTTAAGAACAGAAGGAATTGAGTTCCCTATAAAGCAAGCGAGAGGTTCTCTTTCTTTTGAGGAAGAAAAGCTGTGAACTCCAAGACCGAGGTACCCTATCCACAAAAGATTTAATCTGAACCAGTGTTTCTTGTGAGCTTCTGTGTGTGTCCCGATTTGTAGGGTTTGAGATCGATATCCTTGAATTGAAAAATTCGGAGTGATCAACTTCTGCAGTGATATACCTAAATGAACCAGATACCTGCTACAAAAGCTTCCAGAAAGATATGAATCATAAGTAGCATGCAGCAGGGAAGGCCATGAGTTCGAACCAATAGGACTTCAGACTGCATTCTCTATTCTCCATCAATATCAGTGGCATTAGGAATGTTAGGTATGCAAAAATTTATTTTCATTGAATGTTAAAGCTGCTATCTCTATGACAGGCATCTATAGTAGAAAGGCCTAACAAGCCCCTACCAAAACTACGGAACACACCTCCCGATGCTACCAGTAAGTATGAGGAAAGAGCTGTTCCCCCGGGAACCCTGAACTTGGCACAACTCCGACACATTCTCAAACTACATGCAGGCAAGGGGGAAGGAGACAACCTCAAGTCGCCCGTGGACGCCCACCAAATCGCTCAACAGTTCCGCCTTGAAGTCGAACAAGTTAAGAAGTTCTTGCAGTTTGTATCACTTCCATCGGAGGACAGCATGAAGAATGACAAGGAGGTTGAATGACACTTCTGTCAGTAAGTTCACTGGAACTGGTGGGATATGGTGCTGAATAAAGAACTACTAGGCAATGAACTGACGATTCCCTTTTTAATAGTCTTGAGTTTTCAAACCTCTCTGTCGTGGGAAGATGTTGTACATCATAGAGAATGTAGCCGTATTTGGGAAAAGTTGGGGCAAGAACATGTTGGTATTTTAGCATAAGTTTTGTGTTACTATTTGTTTTGGTCTTGAGGAAAGCAAATACTGAGATGATTCTTTCCAACATCACCTATTGAAAGAAATATTACATTTTCTCATAATCAATCGTGTTAAAAGCTGGGGGAAATTATATAACGAACTAATGATCAGGTTGATATGATTTTATTACAGCTTGCATAAGCGATTTTACAATTGTCCTATGCACTGTCAAAATCACTATAATATTGACTAAGCAAAAGAAAGAATACTAATGTAAAGTCCCTTCTTGGGGTGAGGCTGAGGCATGCCTTTTCTTGCGTTAATATGGAAACAAAAATGAATGATACACTGCCTAAAATTCTGGGTCAAGAAACACAATAACAAAAAAAAAAAAACAATCTTGTTTATCCAGATTCAAGTCCAAATAGATTCTAGCCAGTCTGACGTCATTTCATAAGCCACAAATGTTACAGCACCGGCAGGCGCAGCCTTGACGGTCGAGGGGACGATCCCCTTGTACAGACCAGCCCAGCCTTCTGCCAGCACGATCTGGCGCAGGGCATCAAACATGTTTTTGTACGAACTGTGTTCGACTCTAGCACCATATTTCGGGTGCCTCTGAAGTCCTTCAATCTGGAAGATGAGAAAAGGAGAAGTTGTATAAGATGAGGTTCCATACATCCATAATGAGATTTGAGAAGAACGATACATACCTGGAATCTTTTCTTGACAACATCAAGAGGATGGCAGACAAGTTTAGCGCATGTCCCAGCAGCTATGCCGCAAATAAAAAGTTGGAAGCTAGAGAGGTTATCATTGTCTGTAGTTGTCATGCTGCCGGATCTAGAATGATTCCAAGTCTGCGATAAAATTACGGTTTAGTGACCTAGTTATTCAAAGAGTTATATGTCCACTAGGCCCCTCTGCTACTTATGCAAACTGGGGCAATCTAATGGTGAACTATAGTAGATACAATAGTTCAGGGTCAAAGTTCACATATAACAATGAAAGCCTTTGAATCAGTTCCTAACAAAACTCAACCAGCAGCAGAACAAGTAAAAGACATACCATGGCCCAGCGCTTGAATGTATCATATGTACCAAACTGGAGTCCTGCATAAGGGACAATCTCTACCAGTGTTGGGGATAATCCTGCATATAAGCCTTTAAAACCACGAGCTTTGACAATGTCGACAAATGCAGATCTCATCGTTGGATACACCTACATAAAAAGGATGTAAAAGTCAAAATGACGGGCAAATATGACTGCATGAAGTTTAGGAGTTGTGAGAATGCTCGACCTCAGGTAACTAAGCATGCAGATAGCAACGAATAAGCGTATGGCATTTAGCATACCTTGGGCTCTCCCTGAGAAGCTAATATGGTGCGAAGAAGATCAAATGGATATGATCCCACAGTAGCTGCGCATCCTGCCAAAGCGCCACTTACATAGGACAAATATGGGCTCAAATGAATGTGATCGGCTGCATTAGATGATTACATCAAAGTCAATAAGAGACAATTATTCATTCAAATGAATGTGTCAAGGGAATCAAAGGCTATGAGAGGGATATTCCATCAAGCTCAGGAGGACTACCCAGCTCCTAGCTAGTAGGTTTCAGACTTCCAGTTCAGACAATATCAGGTAACATATGCAGTCAAATCGTAGAACCTCCTATAATTGAATGCTGAATCACCAACCAAATACTAACTGATTGGCAACTTATCCATATTCAATGAAAGCTAAGAGGCAGCCCAGATACCAATTGACGCACCTGTCTTGGAAGAACCAGCTGCAAATGATTTTATCTTGTGTAGCACAGCAAATTGTATGGCAGTGTACGGCATAACCATGAGCAGAGCTGGAACATTACCACGCCAAAAACCCTACGGAAGAGAATAACCCCAGTATTGTATTAGAGGTAGCATGGTCGAACCACGCAATTTATATAATCAGCTTGAGCAATTATTTAGGGTTTTCGAGCCCTAACTGATCCGGAATGGATTAAGAAGTATCCATTCTCAGTGCCTGACCCCTTTACAAGTTCAGAGTATTTCTAAATAGGTTTAACAACTAACCAAAATAGTAGAGTTGCATCAGCAACTAATTACCCTCACTTCTTTCACTCTTCAAGCAACAACGAATGCCAAACAACAAAACAAACGAGAAGAGAAGAAGTGATATACCGCTAAGCCTTCTTCTCTGAATATATCCTTGCTTGCTTGCAGCATTCCTGTATATTTGGATGGAGCAGCAAGATTTCTATTGAGCAAGGCCCATGATGTCGTTGGTTCCAGTTGAACCTGCAAACCATGAACACAAATTCAGAATGATCCCCAACTGGACTCTGCCCCTTCAGGTGCCTAATCCCACTGACTTGATAACGAACACCAAGGCAGCCACCACCATGAATGAAGGCTGCTAGGAAGCTCTGGAACTAATTCTAAGACCCAATACGCTTCAATATGCACTAAACACTTTAAAAATCGAGACTTTAAGGCCACTACTTGATCAAAAAGCAATCAACCCATTACAAAATCCCTCGCCGCCATTCATAAGCAGCCAAAACCTAGATTTCCCTAACCAATCAAATCAAAATCAAACCACTTCCTAATTCAATACAACCCAAGGCGGCAAGGCATCCCAGAAAAAGGAAACTAACCTGGAATCTGATTTTGATGACATCAAGAGGCGAAGTAACCGTACGAGATATCCCGCCGGCGATCGCCCCTGCACTAGCGTCCAACAACGCCCGTTTTAGCGGCTGCTCCTCCATCACCGGAGAGAGAAGCTGAAAAAACTCTCCCTCCCAACCGCCTCGGTTTCTCCTCTCGCCCTCCCCCCCTTTCTCGCCTCACTCAGCAGCTCCCGGCCATGGAAACGAACGCCGGCGAGGGCAAGACGGGAGAGCTAGAAGCAGCGAGGCGGAAGAAGGAACGGGCGGCGGCGGCGGTGGAGGAGGAGAGAAATACTTTTTGGCGCGTTGGGCAGAAAAATAAGCGTTTCGTAAGCTTTTTATGTTATGACCTACGAAAAGCGAGAATGGGAATCTGCCGACGTTAGCTGCTTGCTTTTGGGTAATTTTGATTAATCGCCGGCCGGGGAGGATTCTTTAATCCCTTCCCTGCTTCGATTTGCCGCCTTAATCCACAATTGGATTGGATTTTTGCGCCTAATTAGCTGGCAACAGGGAATGGGATTTTTTTTTTCCTTTCCGTTTTCTTTGTTCGAGGGGGAAGAAGGAAGGAAACGGCAGGCTTGGATGACGGCGAGAGAACTTCTTTTTGGGGGAAAGAAAGACGGGGGAGACGGGCGATCGGCGTCAGTTGACGGCGTGAATCTCGGTGGCGGGCCGGGAGATTCCGTTTAATATCGTCCGTGGAATGTGCTGGTAGTTGCTGACTTGCCTTTTGTGGGTCAATTGCAGGTGCAGTCACTATACTTTGGGATACTAGCAAAATAGTCAGCATAATTTTGCTTTTGTAATGGACTTGTAACTAATGTTTGACATGACTCGTATTATGAATTTACAATCAAACACCTCTATATATTTGGCTGTCGTAAATTAAAAACAAAAATTATAACATAAAACATAAGAGAAAAGTTGTTTTAAAAATATAATAATATGATCTTTAGATAACTACTTCGGTGCACCCACAAAAACGAGTGTATACAATGCACCCAACTCTAATAGTAACTTGAAGACATCGAATTTTAGATTTTATTGGTAGCATTAGTCTAATATGTTGATACGACATATGATCACAATCAATCAATACATTGTCCTAACCCCTAAACCTTCAATTTTGAACACAAATCCAAAATCTCAACTTATAAATCCTAACCCGAACCCTAAATCTCTAAATCCTTGGTCCTTCAAATTGAAGGACATCTTGAATGAGTTTTTTTATAAAAAAAACATCATGTGTTTCTTGTTGATCATATCACAAGTGATTATAGATACCATTTTGACATGAGGTTCGGAATTGGTTGTATAAAGTGATGATAGATAGCCAACTCAGAAAATGGTATCTATCATCCCACTCCCTCTTCTTGGAACCAATCATCCATTTTTTCGCGAAAGTCGGACAGAGATTCGGCGGGTTTTGAAGGAAAAACCAAAGAAATGTTTTTTTATGGAAGATCGGACTTAGCCGCAACCAACAGACCACTATTTCCTAGGCTTTTGGGAGGGGAGGGGATGGATAGAGAGATAATGTTAGAGAGAGAGAGTGAAGAATGAGTTGTGGTGTGAAAAATGAGGAGGGGGGTATTTATACTTGCAGACCGCACCCTTGAGGGGCATTTTAGTAATTTTTCCATTGCCAAAACCACATATGGAGGGTGCGTTCACGTTTCAAGAGGCGCAAAACCGCAGCAAGGAGGTGCGGTCTTCAATCCTCTACACGGATCGCTGAGTTGGCGCGGTGTCTGCCGTTGGATCGCCGCCTAATCCAATGGTCTTGGGGGACGCTGCGTCGGAAATGCAAATCACACGCTGATGATTCGGTTTTCTGACTGACGTGGCAAGGAACGCACCTCCAAGGTGCAGTTTCTAGATAAAACGCACCTTCACCGTGCGGTTTATTTATAAAACGCACCTTGGAGATTCGGTTTAAAAATAAAGGTGCTATTTTTGTAATTTCTATTAGTTGAGTGCTATTTTTATAATTTTTTTAAAAGGGTGCTATTATTGAAAAAAAATCCTATATTCGTTTCTCAATTCCCTTTCCATTTACCTACTTTCCAAATCAGAGATAGTACATAATTGTCCACTATCTAGGACAACATAATTTCCATCTTGAAATATTGTAAACGTAATTTTTTAATAAATAACAAAATTATAATAACTACTATATTTGTTGGTAATTTGATAAAATATTTTGACATGACAAAAACTAGAGGAAGTTCAAGAATTTGATGATGCGGAATTGAGATAGAATACGAGACAACGAATTTACGTGGTATTCTCGATCGATTAATTGATCGAGACTATTTCAAGGTGAGCTTCGGAAGAGCTCGTGGCTGATCTTTTATTAGGTTTACATTTTGGCGGCTTATATAGAGAAAGATTTAGGGTTAAAACCCTAATCCAACGAATCAGACGAGGCCCAACAAGGCCCAAGACTAACTTGGTTTAAGTAACCGCAACACTCTCCCTCAAGCGAGGACATGACTGATAAGAATATCAAGATTGAAGAAGGAAATGTGAAGAACAAGCATGTGACTGCTTGAACAACAAAACTCGAGCTGAATAACATCTCGGACGATGTTGATTGGAGAAGACTGACTCTCTCTTTGAACAACCTAATGATGGAGACGGTTGACTGCGTCTCTTCACTCTTGAACGTAAACACACTTGGTACATCACGGTCGACTTGATGATTGAGCTAGTCAACCGACGTATGTTGACCTCCTAAAGCAGTTCGTATTATGGCTATGAGTTCATTTATGTATTGATTATCACCTAATATTAGTTTACTAGATGAGTGCGAGTTAAAGGGATAATTAGTGACATATAGATGAGGAGAGGGAAATGGAGAATGATCATCATGTGATGGATTAAGGGTTTCATTTCTTTTGATCGGAGGGCTATCTCGGGGTTAGAAGCGGGATTGCTGGGAGGAACTATTGGCGCGCTTTTGATCGGAGATAGGGCGTCCGACGTGGGGGCTTATGATGCTGGCAGGTACGGTGCCGGGTTCGCCGATGCCGGTAGATTTGGGTTCTAGAATAATTAGCTTTCTTACATGTTAAACTTGTTGTTGATTATCCAAGGTTGGTGAATGTCGTCGGCGTCGTCTCCGGCGTACTTACATCAGAGAAATGTGTTGGTTAAATGGTGTCAGTAGTTGAGAGTCGAAGTAATTTAGTTTGAACAATATATTGAATGACAATTTATACATAAGTACTTTGATATTCATACTCATCTCAAATCGTCAAATACATTATACTCATATAGTAATTAAACATAAGTTAAGTCAGGTCAAATTTATTTGATCCAAACCATTAACCAAGAGACCAACTTAATTTAACCTTATCTTAATACGTGCCTAAAAAAAATATCCCATATGATTCAATCCCACAACCAATAAAGTCACAACATCCCGAAGATAGAGGATCACACTTAGCATGAACCGTGTAAAAGAGTAAAAACATAAGGCACATCTTTAGTTGTGTGTCCACATTGACCCAATTGAATATGTGCTATGATTTAACTCACTATCATCAATATTCCTCAAGTATTATAATTAACTCTTAAGACTAAATTCTTACTCATTTTCCCTCAGCTTTATATAAAAAAAATCTAACCAATGTTGGAAATGGACAGATTAAATATTTAAATTAAGGACATGGAGGCCTTCTGGCTTCTGCCAAACCCTGAAATTGTAGCTCGGCCCGGCCCCGCCCCGCCCCGCCCGCTGACAGATTCACTCCAATTCTCAGCCAAAATAAGCCGAAGCCCATTACATTACGGCCCAATAGTAACAGATTGTGCTTAAACCCTAATCATTTGCCCCCAATTTCCCCCGAATCAGAACCCTTCGTCTTCCTCCTCCTACACAGAAGAAATCCCCCTTTCCCTAGGGTTCCAGCTCTCCTCCCGAATCCGAATCCCAAAAACAACATGAGGCCGCTCGACGAGGCGGAGACGACGGTCGTCTTCGAGAAGCTCCTGAAGTTCACCGGCAACAACCTGAAGAACATCGTCGAGAGCCCCGCCCACGAAGGTCCCGACCCGAACCCCGGCCGCTACTGCTTCCGCCTCCAGAAGAACCGGGTCTACTACGTCAGCGAGGCCCTGGTGAAGCGCGCCACCAACATCAGCCGGAAGAACCTCGTCGCCATGGGCACCTGCGTCGGCCGGTTCACCCACGGCGGCAAGTTCCACCTCACCGTCCAGTGCCTGGGCCTGCTGGCGGCCAACGCCAAGCACAAGGTGTGGCTGAAGCCGACGTCGGAGATGTCGTTCCTGTACGGCAACCACGTGCTGAAGGGCGGCCTCGGGAGGATCACCGACGGCATCCAGCCGGGCGACGGCGTGGTGGTTTTCTCGATGTCCGATGTCCCGCTGGGGTTTGGGAACGCGGCGAAGTCGACGCAGGACTGCCGGAAGCTGGACCCGAATGGGATCGTCGTTCATCACCAGTCGGATATCGGGGAGTATCTGAGGATGGAGGACGACCTTTGAAGGAAAAGGTAAAGCAGGGAAAGGAAATTGGAAAAATACCCAATTGATGTAATGAGATATTTATGATGAATGTTACCTTTCACATCTATGTATTCATCAAGTTTTGGAATTTAGATGCTTTCTTCTTCTTCTTGCAACCAATTTTGCACCGTCTTTGTTCAATGTTGTTGATTCAGCTTCGTTGTATGTTCTGTTTTTACAAGGTAACGGAAGGATGAAATGAAATATAGGCAATGTAGCTTAAAGAAACGATCTTTGTATAACGTCTCTGTTGTTGCCTGAAGTACAGAGTTTTTGCTCATTCCAGAAAAGGGCATGTCGAATGAGCTTGATAGGAGTATAGAACTATAGATGCCCTACATCTTCAGCCTTCATGGGCACTTGCTTTCTTCAACAACCTTTCCCTGTGGCATTAGCGACTGTGATGGTTTTTATAGACTTCACTAATCACTATTCACTACATAGTTAGTCCTGATAGGAATCACAACTAGAGAAGTTGGCAAGTTTCTGATAGAAAACCACTACTTATCGGAGGGAAGTATCTGACCGCTACTGCTTCCTCCTCCAGAAGAACACAGTCTAGTACAACATCAGCAAGTGCGCCACCAACTTCAGCCGGAAGAATATTGTCTCGATCGGTGATGTCGTTCCTGTATGGTAACCACACGATGAAGGGCGGTGTCGAGAAGTTCACCGAAGACATGCAGCCGGAGGACGCAGCAATGCCAGAAGCTGGACTCGAATGGGATCGTCGACATTGGGAGCAGAGGTACAGTAACGAGACACTTGGATGAATGCGGCCATGGAAAAGGAGCCTCTGTATCTTACCATTAACATCAACAGTCATCAAGTTCAGTACTTTTTGGTGCTTCTTCTTCTTCAAGCTCAGCAATTTTACTGTGTTCCATGTTTGTTTCTCACATTCATTGAGTGTTTACTGAATTAGGTTTGCATTATGGTTTAACAGTTATTGACAAAGGAGGAGAAGAAAAAATGATTGGGATCGGTGTTTAGACTTTAGACCATGGAAGCTGTAGAATTAGCTAATGGAACTTGGACCTAAGTATAGAAATGAAGTGGAAAAAAACATATGCGCATCCGGGGAATCGAACCCCGGTCAGTACCGTGGGAGGGTACTATGATACCACTACACTAAATGCGCTTTTGTTTGTTACAATTTCCAAATTATTATAATTTATCCCACACAAACGTTTGGGTCACGTACAACTCTGCAGCTCTTATGGTTCGAACATAGAATGATGTAGTGCTTGTATATGTTGGATTACACCTACCAGACATACCTGATTCACTACTCTGAAATGGCTCTTCAAACTGTGCAGAGCAGGAGAAGAGGACATTGAGGTTGTTCAAAAGGTACTAGCTAGCGCATTATGCGACAGACGGTGCATCTTATTCAAGCATATATGAAGTTTACTCTTGCGATCTGCTGCTCCATCAAATGGATTCTTCTTAACTAGATACTTGGCATAAGATAAAACGCAGGATGCGGTGCTGCTGATTTACATGGTTGTTTATTTCCTCCACTATTGTTACCTAATAGTTGAGAACGCGAGTAAATGTTGCCGATGATCAATAATTAGCGAAGATCTCTGGGTTTTGCAGAGAACACTATCTAGGCTGCTGCAATCTGATGTTCACTGGAGTAAGTTGTCATCGAAGAGCTATCGAGAAATACTAGAACCCCCTATAATAATTATCAAAAGAGCCCAATTTCAGTCTTCTCCAGTTGCATGAGACAATGCTGTTGGAATATTGGTTGAGTTTCTGACTGTTCTAATGCCTCCCTCTCACTTTGACTACGGCGAAGTGGAGCCAATTTATACCACATCGTTTAAACCAACTTCTGAAAGCGTATGGCTTGGAATAAGAAGGAAGTTCTGTACCCCGTTCAAATCATACCTTTCTCGGCCTTTTGGCTAAGATCAAGTGTAGTATCTGTTCTTATCAGTTTAATATCTGATACGTGGGCTATTGGCCCACACGATATTAAATTAATTTTTTTAGGGGGAGAAAGCCCACTACTGGAGCTTGCTTCAGGGGCCTTTCTCGCGTGTCGCCCATGCGTTGCACTATTGCACGGGCCTGGCGCACCCCACCAATCCTAGTTCAATCCTTTTTTTCTTTGTTTATGGCCCATTGGGCCTTAGCTGAATGATAATCCTTTTATTCCTCGTTTTGAGCCCATTTGGCCTAGTTGAATTTGTACGACTTGGTTGATATCTGCTGACTGCTTTAGTATTGGTTGTTGATGTTCTCTTGGAACTTTGCAGCATAACTCTCACAGGTGAAAAAAAATCTGTTGCTGAACTTCAATGCACGATATAATAGCAGGCGTTGAGAGTTGGAATGTGAAACCAGAAGATACTTAATTAAACTACGTTGAACATTCGTCATGTTCCAGGAAACCTAAGATCCATTTTCACTTTTGTTTTGGGCCTCCTTGGCGTAGTTGAATTCTAGAATTTAATTTATTTGTGTTGTATATACAACATAGAGACGAATAATCTTTTATCGAATTGTTGTTGGTTCTCTTTTCGAGATTGTTTTTGTTATTGCTAGGAAATCCCTCTCTTTGTACCCGATCATGAATCGTGGCTTTAATTTTCAGATCTGGCTGCTTTCCAGGATGTAACTATTCTTTGTTATCAATACATGATTATCTTTTGTCAAAACAAAAAAAAAGAGATTGTCTTTGTTATTAGATGAGATCATTCCATTGGGCCACCAAATGAAAACCGAATCACGTTCCTCTGAGCTCAAAACTCTCATTCGGGGTATATGAGGAGAACAAATTGCTGATTATAAATTGTAACATTTCATCAAAAGCGTTCCCTTCAATTGTTTGAGCAAAAAGAGACGACTTCTCTCAAAATTTGAACTAGTTCCAATTTTTTCGTATCCAACGTGGGCCATGTTGGTTCGATAAGAATACGAATTCGTCAATGTATGCTACGAAGGATATAATTGAGAACCTCGAACTTCGAAACGACTCATTTTATGCATGTTCTGCTGCCTAATATGGAGCTAAGGGGTCGTTTGGAAGTTGCGATAGTTTTGTTGAGATTGTCATTATGCATGTATTGTTTACAATGCATCGTTTTTTTATTTTTTTAGCAGAAACAATACATGGATTGTTTCTGTGATGTGACAGAAACTAGCACTCATTTTGAGTGATTGTTATATCTCAACTTTTAGATGTGATTGTTGAGATAGTTGAGTTGAGATTGTTTTGTCTAAGCTTTTAGCTTATGCGACATACACAATCTCACATACCAAACATTGTATTCTACAATGCATCAAATTCGACAATACATGTATAATATTATACATGCATTCTCAACAATACATCTATTTAACAATCGCAACTTCCAAACGACCTCTAAGATAACTCCTGACTTCCACTTTATAAAAGTTAATAATGTTGTATAATACATGCCTAATCTGCAATATATGTCCAGCTTATGAAATTGGCTTCGTTGGTCGATCGAGTCTCTGAAGTAGATCGGTAGATTGGACTCTAGACCCCTCCTGCAACTCTCGAAATGCACCAATCAAGACCTCGTTCGAGAATTATAGCTCGTTTCAAAGCCCTGCGTTTTGGGTTTTGTTTCGAATGATTCTTTTTAACTTCTACCCTACTTGCACTACTTTGAAGAGACCACTTTGTTACCACATCGTTTAATCAAACCTGTTAACAGAAAGAACGGGAAAATAAAATGAGAACTCTGGTGCAAAACATAGTGTTCTTAAATCTTTGAACAATCCAACCTCTTCGTAACTTTATGGTTTCCGTCTTTCATCTCCTTGCTTGCCTGGGTTTATATATCATCCAAGCTCAAGCAAGGGGATAGATTCGGTGACCGTAAACTTACTCAGTCTTGTTGGATATATCGAAGGATCAATCTGCTGAAGGCCCCATCCTCAAATACAAATATTTTTTCCAGCAAGTTTTGATTGTGCAGTAATTGTACAATAGATTTGAAGTATCTTATATGCTTAACAATGCTATTCATGTTGTATTATACATGTCTAATCTGACAATTATGTTCAGTTTGTGAAACCGGCTTCAAGCTTCGTTAGCTAATAATCACACTGATCATATACCAGAGTCAAGTGCAATCAGAATGTTCGAAAACAGAAAGACGGTCTTGAAATAGCTCGTTTCAAAGCCTGCCTATTTTGTATCTCATCCAAGCTTGGGCAAGGTGACAAATTCGGATACCAGAAACTTGCTAAGACTTGTTGGGGAGGATCTATCTGCTGAAAATGCCTTTTTTTTTTGGCCCCATCCTCTCAATATTTAAGGTTCGAATATTCTTTTTCTGCAAGTCTGAAGCTCTCTATGGAGGAGCAAATCTATGCTATAACTCCTTGGGGATTAGCGTCACTCTAACTACCAAGTACTAACAAACATTAGAACGACAGAGAGGATTCTTCTCCTAACGACTGGAATAAAATGTAACTATTGTACCTTGCTAAATGCTAATTGGTTTTCCTTAGTTAGATAGACTTAAATTTAAGATTAATTGGTGAATTTATGAATTACACTTATTTTTATCCCGTGTAATTTCAATTTTTTTTTGGTAAGATATCATGAGTTTGCTGGTAACGTATTTTATCTAAAAAACATTGTTTTATTTGAAAAATAGTATTATACCGATTTTAAACAATTTAACTAGGGGTGGGCAACGGGCGGGTTGGGTGGGTTTTGGTCTCAAATTGACCCACCCGTTTACTAGCGGGTTGGAATAAATGTGACCCGCAATCCACCCACATACTTCTGCGGGTTGGGTTGGATGGGTGACGGTTGGGTCGCGGATGAACCCGCAAAACCAATTCTCCATTTAGCCATTAAGAAAGTTGACTAACATTTATAATAATTTCATAGCAAATTAGCAAGACTGTATCAATAATTTGTGATTTTGATACAATTAATAATTTATAGTTTGCATCCCAATATTTTAGACTTGGCAGTGGGCCCGCAGACTTTGGATATCCGTCGGGGCCCGCCCGCAACTAACGGGCTTAAACCCACGAGGCCGGTGTGATTCGCGGTGGCGGGTATACCCGCGACCCGTCGGAGGCCGTGATGGGCTAGGCACGAATTCTGGGATCCCCGCCTCGTATCCGCCCCGATAGCAAACGACGTCGTTTGCTACGCATGTAAAACCCTACATTTTTGGGGTTAGGGTTTTTGGAGAGCCCATTTTCATCAGACGCCGCCCTTGTTCCCCCGATTTCATCCCAATCCATCCGAGGCGAATCTCCGATTTCCTCCCCAAATCCCTTCGATTCCGGCGATTTCTCCTTCTTTCTCGACTATTCTCCCTTGCAAATCGACGATCCCACCATCAATAACACTACATCTTACAGTAAATCAACCCTCCAAACTCCGAAAATGTCTCAATCGACAAAATTCTTCTCCGAATCGTGCATGCAAAGGATTTCTTTCCTATATCGAGATAAGTATTCTGTATTCAGTTCGTTATTACCTTAATCCAATAGACATATAAATAGGTGACTAACTTCGTCATTTTGTTCATATGTAGTTCATCGAACCCTAAATCCAGAAACCCTAGCCTTCCAGATTTCGGACCTCCACTTTGCTGCGTTCTCAGTAAGTTTTTAGACATGAGTTAGTTTCATTAATTGATGTTGGTGCATACTTAGTTCGCAGAATCAATAAATCCCTAATCATCCAAGGGGTCGTTTGGAGAATAGGATTTGGATCATGGATTAATTGAATCCATATATTTAGCAAAATGTTATGATTTTTTTGCTACTTTTTGTATCATGGATTGTAGCTTCGGAGATTTTAAATCTCTCAAATATAGAGATATCAAATCTCTTATAATTAGAGAGATTCTACATCTTGATTTTGGAGATTTTCTCCCTCCTACTATATCTTTTTTTTTTCATTTATCATACTAAATACCCTTATCAATAAGTTTTAAATATTTTTCGAGTCAATCTAATTATTTTGGTTAAGGATAAACATGTCATGTAATAAAAAAATAGAATTTCTTTTTTCATTGGATGTTAACAATCGTAGTTACCAAACAATGAACATTTTCAAATCTTTTTTAAACAATCCAGAGAGTTAAAATCTTGGGATTGACTAGAATCTACAGATTTATACTCCAATTCTCCAAACGAGCCCCAAATTTCATCGTTTGTTTTTGTAGCTTGCGATTCGGGAGTCTCATCTCGCAATTGGTGCTTCAATTGCTTTCTGCTGAGGTAAATCGCCAATCCTTGTTTGATGGTTCTTGGTTGTTGATGTTTGTTCTTGGTGTGTAATATTATTACCCTAGTTTAGTAATTGTAGACTAATCACCTTTGAAGTAACCATCGTAGACTACTGATCAATTTGATTATGCTCCATTAAAACTAAGAACTTAATGTGTCTGCTAAATGTTAATGGTTAGTGTGATTCTCTTCTTGGAAAATGCCACTGTTGTAAGTAGTTTATCTAATGAACCCAATCTCAACTAATGATCACTTTGTTGTAAGTAGTCTATATAATGAACCCAATTTCAATCATCATTACAGAATAGACTTGGTTAATCCTAAAACTGTATAAACTAAATTATCTAATGCACCCAAATCCCAACTTACACTTGGTTATTCTTCTTGAATCGAATTGTTTAACCATGATCTTATGTAATGCTGTTCGAATCCATATTGTGAGAGGATCCAATCGACATTACATAATAGACTTGGTTAATCATGGACATTTTTATCTAATCTCTAATGATCTAATCATTGAATTCTGATTCGTTAGAACAACACTGGAATTCTTTTTGAAACGTTTCTGTTATTTCTGTTTCTTACTCAGATGGAACCTGAACAAGTTGAGAATGCACCAATTCAGAATAACAATGGAGACCAACCTGGTAATCCTGAAAACCTTCCTGATGATGCTATTCCCCAACCTCCCTTAGGTGCTAGTAGATGCTTAAAATCTGATGTGTGGCCTCATTTCACCATACTGATGGTTAATGGAGTGCTAAAAGCAAAATGCAACTATTGTAAAAAGGCGTTGGCTGGAAAGTCTAGTAATGGCACTTCCCATCTTAGGACTCATAGGAACCGTTGTGTTCATAAAAAATACACGACGGTAGTCAAAAAGTCCTTGGGGCTGACTTCAGTGCC